TTCGAATAGTATTCGATCGTTCGAACGTCTGCGAAATCATCGAATATCTGTTCGATCAAATATGTGCAAAATCATCGAACACGATTGAGAATGCGTAGTATTTTTGACTGAAATATTCGAATAATTCGATATTTACCATTCGAATTCGAATATTCGTAAAAACGCATTAATTCTGTTATTCGAATGTTCGAATTTTCGCTCATGCTAAAATATCCGATAATTCACATAGTCGAATATAAAGGACCTCACTATTCGAATATTCAACTTCGAATATATTTTAAATGGCGACTCGAATAATATTCATTTGTTCGAATATTTTTATTACGAACGTATACTCGATATTCGTTCATTCGAAAAAAATTTTCCAATGTTTCAACTATATTAGCCAGCATCATCGCTGTTGCTCGCACGAAAACCGCCCGGAAATGCTCCTGTGCTAAATACTGGCCGGGACGGATTCTGCAATCTCACCATTATCACATCCAACAAGTCTCTGGATGTTTAAGATTTCGGTTCCAGTTTTGAAATATTGATGCAGAGTTTTGGAAGAATATAAGTTGATTCAGAAAAACTCCGTAGTTTAACTTTCAGCCATAAAGACAGGTAAACGAAAGTTCATGATACGCATCATGTGAAATTACTTGCTTCATTTCATTCGCGCGTTGAATACGGTATTAATAGCCAAATGTCAGAGTAGTGCGATTTTAGAAATTAAATTAGCTGGAAACACTTCAGCTGGCTTGTTTGAGTAGTTGGCCAAGATTGTTACGGGTCTTTATTGACGCTAACGTAAGCTAATATCAGTAACTATCTTGGCCAACGCTCCAACAGTCTAGCTGAAGTGTTGCAAATGCCATGATTCAAAAAACAGCCGATTATGGACAGTAGCTGGAAACATTATTGCCCGCTTTTTTTATACATCGCAACACAATCATGTGACAAAGCGATGAGATTAAAATATATATTTCTTCAAAAAGCAATGTCTGGACAAATTTCCAATCCTGGTTTCAATTTCTCTGAATTTGAGGTGTGCTGACCGCGAGCGCCGACTTCATTTGCCATGAATCAAAAAAACCTAATTCGGACTCTTTTTGGGCCGATGGGGATGAGTGGCAGTGGCGCGCTTTCAAATTTTCAGACAAAACGAAACCATGTCTTTCTCTATATAGAGCGTTGCTAAAAGGGGGCGAGCGACTCAAACCTCTGGAGAGAATTTCTCACTTACCACGACGGATTATCCCTGAATTTGTAAAATAGCCTAATCAGGGAGTTGGCTACAGTATTGAGAACTGAAACCTTGATTTGCCTTGACACTGCTTTTATCAATACCACTCCTTCCAGAAACCAAGAAGAAAGATCAGAACAGATGATAAACAAAGAAAAAAACTACCTTGCAAAGATAATGGCAGCCAGATATCGAATATCGGGAGGAAGTCGCAGTCGAATGCAAACGGTGAAAATATATTGCACACTTTCCAGAGTTAAATAGACGGTGTCATGCTCGCTAGCAGTCATAATCCGATCTGAATCCTTATCTTCTGGCAAAAACTTCACAGTTCGACAAAATTGATATTACGAAAAAACCTGAGTTTTCCACTGCTAGCTCACACATCCAGTCAGATTTGTAATCAGCAGGAAGTTCAGCGCCAGCATAGGTAAAGTCAGGATTCGACACGGAGATCTCAACCAGCTGCAATCACATAATTACTTCACTGATCTCAGGGAGCAGCCAAAATACTATTAGCAGAACACAGTTACACCTGGTTTCCAGAGCTGCTCATTACGAAATAGCAGCTTCACTCTAACGAGCAGCGGGATCACCACGGCACCGATGAGCTGACCGCTGCAATATTTATAGAAATTAACAT